CTCGCCCCTTTTGGGATATGGCACCTGGGTAGATAGGAGTATGGGGATCTAAAGTGCGAATAGGATTTTTTCATATATTGTATTACTAGGGTGGGGGTGGGTGGTGCCATAGCCCAAAAGGGGCGAAGGGGGTCCTAACTCCTTTGGTGCTTGGGGAATTTCCGAGGCAAGGGCCGAAGGATCACCCCGAGCTACTCCTGCGGCCGCGGCCTGGGGACGCACGTGGACATGCCAGCGGAGCCCAACAAGCAGCCCGGCTGAAAAAAGGAGGTCAGTCTTTTTGGCGAGAGACTGGGGGTGGGGTCTTATGGCGCTAAGGTTTTGAGGATTGAGGATTGAGTATTTACGGATAAGATTTAACGTGTGGTTTCGGATGTGGCCTCAAGCTTTCCTTCTGTTTTCGGCTTGAGAGATGGACATGAGGCGTCTACCATGCCCTCTACCCCCCCCAACGTCGACATCGATGTCTGTAGCCTTGAAGAACCCATTGCTAAACCGTGTCCCATAGACCTTGAATGATCCGATGTGGTAAACCGGTACCTCGGCAAAGGAACCCTTCATGTATTATTAGAGCTGCCCGGCCCGACAATAATTATAATTCATTCAAGTCTCGAGGTTCCGCAAGGCCACATGAACTCATTCCGAGATTGCTACTGTAAGGCTGATGCCGTAGGAATCGGAACAAGTCTTGTTGCGTATGCTTGTTTATACCGAAAAGTTGTAGTTGCAACGTGCGGGTGCCCCGTGCTGTTCGACTCAGGCCGGCCCAGTCTGCTGTGGAGTGCCTCAGATACATGGCCGCTGGGCTTAACTGACAGGTGCCCGCACTACTGCCGGTCAAACAGCCGATCTTCGGCTGGGGGACTCAGGTCGTCAAGCTCAATCTCGAGCGGAAGAAGAAGCGGCTCGCAGAGAAGAAGAGGAAGCGCCTCCTGGCAGCCCAGGGAGCGGCGCTGTGCCGTACAGATCGTCGGATTCGGTCCATCACTATCACCATCACCACAGTCATCATCGTCGTCATCATCATCATCATCGTCGTCGTCGTCATCATCATCATCACCACCAGAGGTACAGGCTAAAGAATTATCGGCATCATCAGCAGAACATCACCATCCAACTTCCACTGCGCTCTGTGCTCGTCAGATGCTCCGGAGGGCTTTCACTGCGGCGATGTCACATAAGGACTCTCAAACTAGAGCACTCACCCAAAGCGCAAGCCTCAGCTCGACAGCTTCATACCCAATGGTGATTCAATGCAAGGCAATCTGCATGACCTGAAGCGCTTCCCGCGTGCCTCGGCAAGGGCGGATCATTGCAACAGTTACTGTTGATGACGTTCTCCTGATAGTTTTATGATGGCTATGAGGCAGCTGCAGTGGCGCTCGCTGCTCTGTATAGCAGTAGTGGGATGATGCTTGTTATGAGCAACCATTCTTGCTGACGCATCTTCCTCAACCCTCAACCCTGGATGAACTCTACAGGAACCCAAAGCCCTGAAGCCACCAAGCCCTGAACCTGAAGCCCCGAACCTGAAGCCGTAAAACGCCTTGAAGGCATCCTCGTGTCATTGATGCTGCTGGTATGATGATGATGATGATGATTCTTATTAGTGTTGTCATCATTGTTAGTCTGTTAGTATTGTTCTTGTTGTTATTATGCCTGGCAGGCATCTTCCTCATGTGCGACTCCGCCAGCGCCTCCTGGGTTCTGAGGCAGCTCGACCCGAACAGGCGCGCAGCAGGGAAGCCGGGTCGGGGGCGCATGGTTTCGGGTTTGGGGGAGGAGCTGTGGGTTTCGAACTTATAGTGAAGAGGGAAAGCCCAGAGGCACCAATAATTCCTTGGGAGTGGGCAGCCAGGCAGCCATACATTCTCTTAATCAAGAAAATCATTACTGAGTAGACATATCGATTCATGAACCCTAAGACCTAAACCCTATAACCCTAGCCCTATCAGCCCTGAACCCTCTAAACCCTTAAAGCTGTAAGCCTTCTACGCCCTAAACGATGGCAGGATGGTCTTTGGGTTTCAGACTCTCCAGGACCATCTTGGTGGTCGACGAGCCGCCCATGGGTAGCGATGTGTACCCGGAGAACCCCGAGGACCAGGGTTTGGCTTTAGGGTTTCGGGTTTGAGGGGGTTCGGGTATGGGGTTTAGGGTTTAGGGTTTAGGGTTTCGGGTTTGGGGTTTGGGGATGTGGGCTTGGGGGTTTGGGTTTCAGGGTTTCCGGTTGTAGCAGGCGTTATGGGCTCAAGGGTTGAGAGGGCATTTAGGCTTCAGGGTTAGAAGTCGCGACGTTGCGAAGATCGGTGTTGGAGTACACTTTAACTGGTCTAGCGTTTATGGGTATTGTACAGGGGTTGAGATGTCCAAGTATGTACTGGTCGTGAGTACTTCGTGCATCTTGGAAGATTGCTCAAGTTTGGCTTGGTTTTGAGCTCTCGATCCGACGGGCTTTTCAGGCCAGGCCCCCGAAAGCCTAGAACCCACATGTCCTTCCTGCGCCGGACACTGAAGCGCCTCTTTGTTGAAGGACAACCCACTGGCCTGCGCAATGATGCAAGCCATGATGACGCCCATGTGAGCCCCTGTCATTGCTTGAAGATTGCAGCTGGTTCCGGAAACCTGTGCCGCAGACTATTGGTAATTCAGGTCTCTCTCTCGGGCTATCAGGGTCCAAGCAAAAGAAACGCGAAGGGTTTGCAGCGAGGCGCCCAAGGCCCCTGGCCAACGTGCAGCTCTGCCGAACACAGGGCCAGCAGAACGGGGGCGCTTGCTTCTTCTCGGATATTTATTGAAGGGTCCACGGTTGCAGCGCCTTCTAACCTCAGATTGTCTTTCCTTGTCACCCTCGAAGTCTCAAAGATTTAAGGTTTGCTGAGTCAAAGCTGGGCTCAAGAGGTACAAAACCATCCTCATGTCGGCGACGCTGCCGAGACCGTCAGCTTTGCCGACGCCGCGCAACTGACTTCTTAATTGTTAAGTCCTAGATTCGATACCCTAGGCCTAGAACCTGGGCCAAAAGCCGAAGGCGTTAGCTCTAAACAGCTCGTGACTGCACTTCCAATATAGAACAGGGCTACGATCTCACGTCTTCTTTGCAATCGCATGCTGCCACATCTGGCCCCTGGGAACTCTGGCACGAGCTCCTGCAGACCCTGGAAGACCTCTGAACCCCGATCCGTGTCCGCCCTATCCCTGCAAAAACGCCAAGAGAGAGGCAAGAAATTGAGCTCCCAATCGCCCCAACTGCCCAGAAACCGAGGCTAGTGAACTCTTTCTTAGATCGCTTCCACATCAAGCCGGAAGAGCGGGACGTCCACGTCAGGCGAAGTCTCGGTTTTTTTGGGAGTCCCAGGCATCCGAGGAGTCTACGGGCTCTAGGACTTGGCGAAGTTTGGGGTCTTAGGATGTCGCTTTCGAGGTTTCTTTCGGGTAAGAGGGTCTAGGGCTTTAGAATGTGGGGGTCGGGCACTGGTTTTGAAGAGTTGAACACATGGAGCTGCGGAACTCTGGGCCCTTGCGAAGAATCTTCAGCTTGAACTCCAGGGCACCTGGGGACCTCCACGCCCGCCACCTGCGAACCCTACCCAAAACTCCCAACGCTGTACCGTCCAACCTACACCCCAAAGCATACATACATATTTATATATATATATATACATATACATCTACATCTACATCTACATCTACATGCGTATGCCGTGCCCTGAGACCCAAACCCTGAGGGAGTGCATGAGCACAGAGCTCGACCGCGGTGCCGTGATGTGCGGTCCTTCGGGCGCGGTGGCCTTCCCCCACCAGCAGCTTGGGCCTGTTTTTAAAGTTTCGGCCATGCTCGGCATTTGTTTTAGGGTTGAGGGCTTTTGCGGCTGACCAGGGTCGTTAGAGGTTGGTATTCCGACGGGGTCATCTCGATGCCCTGCAGGTATCAAGTTTGCAGGCCTTTGGGGCACAGAGTTTCAACGGAGTTTGAGACTTTAAGCCCTTAAGAGCCATGCATCAAGTTTCGGAGTGTCGCTTTCGTCTCAGGAGCGTCTCCGGCTTCGAGGAGTTGAAGAAGCTTTGCCTCAGGCCTTGCCCGGCTCGCCGTTCTTGTAGTAGGATCCTTTGAGGGCTCCTTTTTAAGGCGTTTTTTGAGATTTGGGCTTTCAGGTTTTCTCTCTAGGATTCGCGGGCGTCCAAGTTGCAGAGGGGTTGCAGGGCTCCAGACACTCCAGGTCCGAGGCTTTGGAGCGAAAGCCAACAAGATCCAACGGCCTTCCTCTGCAACAAATGCCCCGTCCCTTTGACACCCAAATCGCTGACCTGTGCATGAACTGAGCCAGCCTCTCCTAAACCCTAAGAGAGAAACTCTAAACCCTACACCCAAAGCCTAAGATCCCTCGGCCTCGAGGTCCGACCCCCGACTCCTCCTCCCTAAGCCAAAGAGACCGCCGGAACCCCCGAGAGCCCCGAAATTTTAGGGCCGCAGGTTACCTGCAGACCCGCTGGTGCTCAAAGCCTATACAGAGCGAGCGCTGGTGGGGGTGCCCAGACGGTGTTGTGGTTTCAGCAAAAGATGGCGAGGTCCAGAACTCCTAGAGCCAACTCCCCAACAGGATTAGACCAAGCCTCAGCACGTGCAGCCCTTCAAAACTCAACGTCGAGTAGAGCCGCGGGCCCTAACTGAACCCGAAACCCAACTGTCGGCTCTCATGCTTCATTGCCAGGCCATTCAGTTTAAGGGAGCTTCGGTTTTTAGGCTTCTCGGTCTGCGAGAGGGGTTCTCATTCATGGTTTTAGGATGTTCGGTTCAGGGTCCCTCCGTTGACCGTCAACAGGGCAATGAGGTTTAGAAGCAGATCCGGCCATGATGGTCCTTCATACAAAGGGCAGTGCTTGAATCTGGTGTTTACATGGCAGGCGACGCTTCTTCTGCGCTGGAGGTCTCTGGAGAAGGAGTTTTGGAGGGCTTTCTGCTTTTTTGTCGCTGTGCTCTGCAGCCCTGGGGGCGTCCTTAACCCGGCCTGTAAATTTAGATCCACCCAAAGGCCCTCGACTTCCCGCCCAGGAAGTCTCGGCAGCAGGGCCGGAAACCCTGGAAACCCGGACACCCCCCAAGCTGCCGCCCGTCCTATCGGCTCGAAGCACTAGCCGTTTTGAAAAGTTTGTACAGACGGATTCGCTGCAAAACAGAGGAGGCTGCCTGTTTGTGCTTTGTGCTTTAGCATCAATCTCCATTCCTCTTTCTCTACATATGCTCGCTCCCTCTATGTATGTATGCATGCATGCGTACATGTATCAGGAAACCGAATAAGATCAAGAGTTTCCGAATCAGGTTCCTACCTGAGGTCGCAACATTCAGACAGTCTCTTCAACGTGTTTTTTGGCGGTCTGAGCATCTGAAGTCCCCCTTGAAGGATATTCAGGGGATCCGAGTGCGCGCATCCGGTCGGGACGGGATGCATCCTCCTGCATTGGGCGGCGACATCGCAGACTTGAGCCCCGTTCAGTGCCTGGACGCCTCCAAAACCCCAATCTGTTCTGCATCCTTAAGCTTGCTGGGAATACGGGTCTACCGTGCACGGAGATACTGTATCAAGGCACAGGCACCTCCTGAGCTGCCGCCGAAGTCACAGATAAGGGCCTTGGAGGTAACACTCAATGTCCAACTTAGGGCCGAAGCCAAGGCCATTTGATCTCCTCCAGCTTCCTTCCTTGCCAGGGCCATGCAGAAAGCAGGGCGAGTGAACACGCTCTTGCGCCACGTTAAGGCTGGCCATTTTCTTGTCAGTGGGCTTGGGTGTGGGGCTTACAACTTGCTCCAGACTGTGACCTACCACTATATCCTGAAGGTGCTGCTCTCAAACAATTGTAACGGAGTTGTGCAGCAAACTGTGTGCAGAAGCGTCCGAGCAGCGGGTGTCCAGGTCGTTTCCCGAGAGCCTTGGGCTTCGGGACTGGGCCGGGGACCCGGGCCCTGAAGCCGTAAGTTCTATTAAAGGGCCCTTTAAAGGCCCTCAAACCCTAAAAGCTTAAAAGCCCTAACACCCTAGAATCCTAAACCCCCTACACCCCTGAAAGTGCCGGAAATCCT